TCTATGATGTTGTTAAGTGTAAGTCGATCTGGAACGCCCACCACAGAAGATGCAGTCCAGTTGGAGGTGATACATGACACTATTTTCCAGACAAACATTTACATAAATTTCTTTATGCCTTTGAAGTAGGCATCAGACACACATAGCAAACTTTCAGCCAGATTGATTGTTTTGGTTGAAGCTTGTCCAACATCTGATTGATGTAAAAAGCAACCTTTACCGTCCACATCGCTCCTGTCCAAGTCTGTGCCTGTCCTCTGTGGCTAGTTTCTACCTCTCCTGTAGGTCGCCTACTTGTCTCTGTCTTCCCATCCCTCCTAGCCATGTGACCCGACTACTAGGTCATGTGATCTAACTACAGGTAAAATCCTACACATCGTACTGATTAGTGTCGAAATAGTTTGTACTGTATTCTGAAGGGATCATGTTTCTAAAAACAAATAACACTTTTTCGTTGGTGTATTTTCCCATGTGATGTAAATGAGATGTTAGACTTGCCAAAAGCATTCCGGATCCCTGGTTTAACATTTTGCCATAATGTTCAGGGAATTAATGACTTTGATGCCAGTGCCAAAAATATTTGAAAAGGTGGCATGTTGGATGTGTTAAAGGCGACACGCTAGAAAGGTTAAGCGGAAATTCAGTTAAGAATAGCTTGTAAATATGTGTAGTACGTTACATACAAGAAAACTACAGAATTTACAAGCATGCTTCATTTGTCAAAGATGTGTGTTGAAGACAGTTTCTTTAGATTTCCTCATCATTACATGGCGTAGTACAAGGTCTGGCCATGGCAAGTGGTTGAGATGCAAACTCCAGTAGTCTGTATCATGTCCCTTGTCAGGGCTGTCACAGAGAGGAATGCTGCATACATATCAGGTGTGTCAGTGTCTGTGTACCTGTCAGGTAACAATAGGTATCGTTAAGCAGATCAAAGACAGCTGAGTTCAGTCACGTTTACGAGACCTGGTCAGTGAAGGTCAGTGGTCAGCATGTGGCTGCCATGTGGACCTTGGTAGATTGGAATCAGATGTTGGTTGGAGGCAGGTGCCCATGATTGCTGAAAATACAAAAGAATTATGGGAAGTCATAAATGTTATTTCATTGATGAATTATTGAAACCATTGCTGTTAAACAATAGATTGCCTCAAGACATGTAATGGTTACCGGTAATAATGATTTGCCATTTTACTGGAGAAAAGTGCATCATACCATGATAAGCCATGCTTTAAGTATTCATTAAGAGAAAAATGTGGTTTCTTGAAGACAAATGAAAAGATTTCAAGGGAACTACATATATTTTCCTGATTGAATAGGATGCTTGTTTCTTATTTTAGGTAATTTGAGAAAGATTTCCAATAAAAATGGAAATCCAGTTACATTAGTTTGCACACAATAGATGTATCAGAATATGTGTTGATGGGATATATTTCAAAGCATTGAAAGCTAATTGTTCAAAAGAGTTATTACTGCCAGGTTTAGTTGATATTCAAGTAGATAATAGTGTGCATGGCAAAGTGGATAAAATGAAGTGGAGAAAGCGAAGTGGAGAAAGCAAGGCAGGAAGAGAGGTGAAGCACTTCCTGCTGCGGGGTTGATGGGATAGATTGTATCAGATCAGGCTGCAGCTGTGGATGAAACGGCAGTGCAATCAAGCCTGTGTCGAGCCCATGTATCTAGGCTGTGTGTCAAGCACATGCATCTAGGCTGTGTGTCAGTCACATGTATCTAGACTGTGTCAAGCACATGTATTTAGGCTGTGTGTCAAGCACATGTATCTAGGCTGTGTGTCAGTCACATGTATCTAGACTGTGTGTCAGTCACATGTATCTAGACTGTCAAGCACATGTATTTAGGCTGTGTGTCAAGCACATGTATCTAGGCTGTGTGTCAAGCACATGTATCTAGGCTGTGTCAAGCACATGTATCTAGGCTGTGTGTCAAGCACATGTGTCTAGGCTGTGTCAAGCACATGTATCTAGGCAGTGTCAAGCACATGTATCTAGGCTGTGGAAAGCACATGTATCTTGGCTGTGGCAAACACATGCATCCTGGCTGTGGCAAGTCTGATTAGCATGTCTATCTAGGTCTCTTGTATCTCGGCGATGGTGGTGATCAGAACATTCATGAAGTAGCTGGTGATCAGCGTGATGGTATTGATAATGTTGATGGTAATATAGATGATTATGATGTTGGTTGTGATGACAATGATGAAGTTGGCGATGTTGATGATGATTTTGGCGAGGATGATGAGGATAGCATTCATAATATAGCTGAAGAACATGATGTAGGTGGTGTAGAACATGATGTAGCTGGTGTAGAACATGATGTAGGTGGTGTGGAACATGATGTAGTTGGTGTAGAACATGATGTAGCTGGTGTGGAACATGATGTAGTTGGTGTAGAACATGATGTAGTTGGTGTAGAACATGATGTAGCTGGTGTAGAACATGATGTAGTTGGTGTAGAACATGATGTGGTTGGTGTACATGGTGTGTAGAACATGATGTAGTTGGTGTGGAACATGATGTAGTTGGTGTAGAACATGATGTAGTTGGTGTAGAACATGATGTAGTTGGTGTAGAACATGATGTAGTTGGTGTGGAACATGATGTAGTTGGTGTAGAACATGATGTAGTTGGTGTAGAACATGATGTAGCTGGTGTAGAACATGATGTAGCTGGTGTAGAACATGATGTAGTTGGTGTAGAACGTGATGTAGCTGGTGTTGGTGTAGAACATGATGTAGTTGGTGTAGAACATGATGTAGCTGGTGTGTGTAGCTGAGTGAGAACATGATGTAGTTGGTGTAGAACATGATGTAGCTGGTGTAGAATGGTTGGTGTAGTTGGTGTAGAACATGATGTAGTTGGTGTAGAACATGATGATGAACATGATGTAGTTGGTTGGTGTAGTATTGGAACATGATGTAGTTGGTGTAGAACATGATGTAGTTGGTGTAGAACATGATGTAGTTGGTGTAGAACATGATGTAGTTGTGGTGTGGAACATGATGTAGCTGGTGTGGTGTGTAGAACATGATGTAGTTGGTGTAGAACATGATGTAGCTGGTGTAGAACATGATGTAGTTGGTGTAGAACATGATGTAGAACATGATGGTGTAGAACATGATGTAGTTGGTGTAGAACATGATGTAGCTGGTGTAGAACATGATGTAGCTGGTGTAGAACATGATGTAGCTGGTGTAGAACATGATGTAGTTGGTGTAGAACATGATGTAGTTGGTGTAGAACATGATGTAGCTGGTGTAGAACATGATGTAGTTGGTGTAGAACATGATGTAGTTGGTGTAGAACATGATGTAGTTGGTGTAGAACATGATGTAGCTGGTGTAGAACATGATGTAGTTGGTGTAGAACATGATGTAGCTGGTGTAGAACATGATGTAGTTGGTGTAGAACATGATGTAGCTGGTGTAGACCATGATGTAGTTGGTGGTGATGATGATAATGTAGATGTTTCCACATATTTGTTGGTGTTTATTTTCTGAAATTGATATGCATACCCTTGAGTGCACACCTGTGTGCAGACTTGACCCTGCCCTCTCTGCTGCAGACTGTGTGTGGAACAATAATGATATCCTGATCTCCAAACAACATACTGTATCCATCGGCCCAATCGTGGGATGTATCTCAACCTGTTTGTTTGATAGAGCAGACTTCCTATTGTTTTTGAATCCTTGACAAGATTCCTTGTCTTTAAAAATGAGAAAAAATCACTTTACCTGGCTTGTAGATGTTTGTTCAATAGAGGAATGATGCAGAGTGTGATACACCCATCGTCCTCTGGTTCTACTACTGCCAATTACTGACTGCCTTTCAAACCTGCAAGAAAGGAAAGGACCCTGATTTCTCTTGTTGAATCTGAATGATTACCCGAACATTTAATTGGTCCCTTCTGTATTTACTTGGATGATATCAATGCTTCAGGTACACAAGGTGCTCAAAGTTCTTCATCATTTGCATGTTAAATTTGTTACATTTGCAAAATAGCAGCAGAATTTCAAAAATGGAAAAAATCAAAACAAATTTCCCATGGCTCTGCAGCTTCCAAGAATGATGTAAATTGATTTGATGGGCATGCAGTCTTCACAAGGAAGCAGCTCCAGGATGCACGTAAAAGACAGATTTTTGGCAGCATTACCTCTTCAGTTGCCAGATGGCGCCAAAAGCCACCAAGCGGTAGAAGAGATTTACTGGCATGGCTCTGGGTTCTCACGGCTATACAATGAAAAGTTTCTATGTATAGGTTCTTTGCCAAAATACATGGATGCTACACTGTGGGTTTTTACCAACAGTGGAAGATGAAGGATAAATACATCACCTCTCTCTCTCTTCTCTTAGGCAGCATATCAGCTCACTTTTTATAATAGTTGGCCAAGCGCCAACTTTGTGAGATTGAAGCTTGTTGCTATCAATACTGTAGGAAAATGGATAGCGTTTGTCAGTATATCAGACTTTCTAAGCCATTAATAAAACAGTTATTTTTTCAACCAAATGGCTTGAAATTGTTTTCTATATTGTGATGGCCAGTTGTAATGCGATATGTCCTTCAACACTGATAACGCCACCAGTTGTCAGGGAACTTGCGCTGTGACTGAAAGGGGATGAAATTGAAGTTAGATAAGAATCTTGGTATTGTGTGATGGTGTATATTGCTTTTATCGCATGGTCAGATAGTATTCCATTATCTTCAGGCTATATAGTGTGAATAAAATAGGGATCAGCAGTTATCAAATGATATACTCTGCTCTTGGTTTTGTGTGACACCTAAATCAAATTTTCCGTTACTGAACTGGGTCATAAAAGCTCCAAAACTGACTTTTGTCTAAATTAGGAAAACAGTATTTATCACAGAACTTCAATGTAAGCATGTCACGTCTTTTTGATGTCTATTATTTTAGTATGGTTTTGTTTTTGTTCTAGCCTTTAACACTGTTGTTTTTCACCTCCGTTGATGAATGTGTTTCTCTATTTCAGACGATCAATGGAAATAGCAGAGGACCGAAGTGTTTATCAGACCCTGCTGTCTTCTCCTTCCGATCTATCAGCAGTGGGTTGTCTCCCCTGACGCCAGTGGAAGAACCATCATGTGCATACTGAAGAAGCTACCAGTATCAAGTAAACATTGTAACTATGAGCTTCAGCTATGCCACTGTTCTTCTTTATGGCCAAAGAAGTGACCCCAAGGGGACTGAACTGATTATCTCCCCCTTATCTGCTGACAAAGCTTCTAGATTATGGGGAGGTCCATAGAGGTGCTGAAGAATACCAAAATTGGAGTATTGTGTTCAGAGAAAACTGATGACTTTATGTTGAGGGAGTGAGTCCCATTGGTTGAAGGTGGATTGTATACGGAGGCCCACAGTGCTTAATGGAGATCTACGCATGTATGTACGCACAGACGAAGCCTGATGGCAACTAGGACTTACATCTATACCATTAACTTATACTGTAGGTACAAGCATCTGCCTACTGCATTCATTCAGTTGACCTTGAAGCTGTTGTCTCATTAGGAGTATAGTGCACGTCTTGTTCAGTCAGCCATTTATCATAAGTCAATCAATATTGTGATTTTTTTATCTATTGAAGACTGTTTACATTATAGATTATATATTTAATGCTAGAAGTAGCTACTGTGGAGCAGGTAGATAGATAGCCCAGTGATACCCACACACATGGCCGACTGACAAACTTGCTTGCTTCAACACTCATCACCTTTTCATGCAGGCATATATATATATATTTTGTCATCATTACTGAGGATGTGTACAGGCTATTTTTTTTCGACAGACATTGTTGCTCGATTTTCCCTTTTTTTAAAAAGTTTGCATGCTTGATATTTTGAAGCTGAGGAATGCTTCTTGGTAAGCACCTTGTTTACGCTCACTGGCTAAGTGACACTACCTGTTGTTGGAGGCCAGAAGGGATGTGCCCACTGGTTGCTGTGACATGTCTAGAGGACTATGGCTACAACTGCTGAAGGCAAGATGTGGCTGGCTTGTGATGGAGTAGGAGGGCAGGGCAAAGACATTGGAGTCTGTGACCGTGTTTTAGGAACTGCCAAGGATGTGATCCAGAGGAGGCATGTGCTTATTCGTGAATGGTTCGGACTTTGCCAAGCTGCTCATGGATGTCAGAACAACAAAACCAGATTGTGCAGATGTTATCATTGTTTCATCAAACTTGTATCATCAGTAGAAGGTGAACCCTTATTGAATATTATCGAAAAGTTCCTAACATATGGCTTTGTTTTGCAAGAATAATGTACTGGCAAGCAATACACGTTCCTCCAGTAGATGTCCCATGATGCATCACTCCTTTACCGTACAGCATACTGCAGCAATAGGTCAGCCTGAGCAGCTGCAGCAGTAACAGCATCCTCATCATCACTACAGCAGCAGCTACATGAACAACAGTGTACTTGTGCTCTTCTGTGTACAGAGATGTTCTTCCCGGCAGCTGTTTACCTACCATGTGTCATGTTAGTACATTGAAGATTCAACTGGATTCTTACTTCCACTACACTTTGTTGCTTGGCAGAATGGCAGCTTGCACTACATAAATGGCATGGAAGCTATTGAGGGCTTCATTATGTATAGGACCACAGCTGTTGAGTAAAACATTGTTTAACTACAGTTTTATTACCACATTCAGTGTATAGCCAGAATTGATTCCATTGGTTTGCTGTTGTCATAGCCTCTGGATCAGCTACTTTGTATTTACTGCCATAGAATGTTTGACAGTGATCAACTGGCTATTTATGTTTGATTATATTTTGATTAATTTATAGAAATATAATGAATTCTTTGAATGGTAATTGAATTATCAACCAGTGAAGTTGATTTTAATCTTTTTGTGTGTGTGTGTGTGGGGGGGGGGATGATGGGGTGAACACAGACAAGAGGTGTGATATTAACAAGTATGCATTAAGATGTTCACTATCTTTGTACTAAAACCATTTTTATTACACTCCCCATGGTAAGAAAAGTATTAAAGTATTGTTATTAAAGTCAGGTAATTTAATATTTTTTTCAATATTAACCTTTTATGATCTATGGCCATGTCAAAAATTATTTCAATTTACTGACTTATATTTTAGGATGAACCAGCCTTCCCTTGATTCCCAACTCGACCTCTTGCCATTTAAAACACAATCGTGTATTTGTACTGTTGTAGTATGTAGATTTCCAGTGATCTACTCTTCAGCTGTGGAGTCTATTTTAGGATATATGAATATGCATTTTGGAAAATACTGTTATGATATTTTTATGTATACAAAAATAGACTATGTAATGAATTGTTTTGATGAAAGAATTTACATTTGTTATTGAGATTTTTTGGTAAAGCTTAGGTGGGAGTGGAGGTGTACATGTTGAAATCCTGTTATTATAGGAACATATGCTGCAAATTTGTTTCTCTATTTCCATATTAGCTTTTGTTGAGCATGACAAGCTGTCCAATTTATGGTACATCTAATGTAAATTGTTTATAGGAAATATGCACCTTGTGCGTCACTCCAATGCATATGGTCGTATGCGATCAGACAGAATCAATTTCAAGACAACCTTTAAATAGAACCCATGTTTTTATTGCCAGCAAATCAATTTTATGGTCACGACGCTGACATATTAAACACTCACTGCTTTTATTTGAGTTACATGAAGCATTTTGCAGCATGGCAGACCTGTCCTTGAAAAAAGCCTCAATTTCAGGGGATGTAGATATTTTATATTTGTAAGATCATGAACAACTTGGGCGTCCCTTGTAGGGCAAACCCTGCAGCTGATCTACCTCTACAGATTTGCACTGTCTTACAATGTTTGCACTCCAGGAAATCGTGTTGGTCACTGTTGTATCATTAACACTATGATCAGTCCTCATATTGGCTTGACTAAGACCTTAAGATTGTGCTAATGTATTCATAATAGTATCTATCTTAGAGAAGGACTACCCATGGGCCAATTTGCAGTCTTAGTGAGTTGATTGAAGTCATTCAAATCCCACCTTGTCTGCAGATTCGAATCTTGTTATACATATCAATCTACCTTTTAATTATTGCCTTGAAACCACACAAACACAATGTCTTGGTTTGACACACTGATTGCTGTGACTGGATCAAGACTGGAAATAGGCCCAGGGAAGTGGAGCGCAGTCTCCCTAGTTTGACCTTTGCTTGAAAGAGTTACTCAATATGTGTAATACTATACTGAAAGGTGTAATGATAATGCATGGTGTATTTGAACATTTGATATTTATGGGGAATCTTTGTGTCTCATTCAGTGCATTTAACATGAACTAGTACCATTTTATTCAGGAACTGCTCCTTTAGATAAACAAGCAATTTTACAGAGCATGTGATCAGTGTTACACAACATCAATAAGGTTGTGCTTGCAAAATATTTATTTAATATTTAAAAATAGACATGTTTAAGAAGAGCAGTTTCTGAAAGATTTTGTTTATGTACCAATGTTTTGAATTTATCATGAATAACCTCACATAATTGTTTCTGCAAGAAATGAGCATGTTCGACCTGTCAGTATTTTTGTTATGATAAATCTGACTAATAATCTTTTTCTTGTCTCGATGAAGCATATGGAAGTGCGGCAATGTTTTGTAAAACAGGGAGTGATGCCAGCAAACTTTCCACATGTGCTTTCACAAGCTCAATTTGACTTAGGATCATTTCAGGGCAATTTGTTAGCAAATTTTCTTGAACTGTTTATGGCATTTGGAGGTGCCATGGTTAATTTCTTCAGTCACATGACTGTCACATGTCTAGCAAATGGCGGCGGTAGTCCAGTGTGACAGGTGACACTACTACTACAAGTTCACGAGAGACTGAATTCCCTCAGGTTCCTCACTAAAGCTGTGATAATGTATTCCAAATACAGGTCAAAGGTCTTGAGTGGACCTCTGCATCATGGGTTGTTTTTGGCCATGGTTGAATTGGCCAGCCCAGAAGAATTTTTTTAGAAACAAATACACATAATTGCCATTTCAGAAAAAGATGAATCAGATTACTGCAAGCGCATTTACTTTTATGGCAATTTAATGTTACATAGCTTTCCTGAAGTCCCATCTTGGCTTCTGAATTTACCAAGACGTAATGTCCCACATGGCTTCACAGTCTCTGAATGTCCTCCAGGCTCTTTATCTTGCTGCTGAACAAATGTCTGACCTCATCTTTCTTGATACCTCGGTCCTCAGGTATGTTTGATCTCAGTGTGGCTAGCCACTTACCCCTTCCGGCTGAGGAAGCTGAGGCACGTTCTGCTATATAATTCATGCTTTTAGGGAACTCAAGTAAAAATTCAAGGAGAAATTCTTCTGTGTTTCTGAATTTAGAAACTGGATTGCATCTTGTTAGTTTTCATCTTAGGTAATTAAGTCAGGGTGCATTTTGAACATAGGATCTAGTTTGAAGGAAATGTTGAATTAGTGTTTCCTTGATCAAAATGATGGCAGGGAACCTTTACAGCTGTTGGTCTGACAATGGATAGGTAATTATATTGAAAGAAAACTTGGTCTGGTAAGGTAACCTGGAGGTAGCACACAATCAGTATGTTTTTACGCCATTCAAACTAATTTATTATTGCCCAGTTTTTGTTGCCTGGGGTGAGCAGTTACTCCTTGTATTTTCCGATTTACCAGTTCACTGTGGATCGGTGTTGAGGTGGAAAAAAATTGATAGTCTCAATGCCTGTTTTTTCACTTCCATCACGTAACATTGGCAGCCATTGCTACAATGATTTTTATGAGGGTTATTTTGAAGGTGGTTACTTCCTGGTGAGGACATGTTTTTATTGATTCCTAGCCATGCTGGATTCTTGGTTCGGAGAGTATTGTTAGTCCCATCGTATATAGATTCAACTTACCGATGGTGTTAGAGGGTGTGGTCAGTGGACCAAACAGTTTGCTATAATTGCCCCTGACTACCGGGTACCCATTTATGGTCCTGGCTTAACTATATTGTTTCCCTGTCCCTGTGTATCAACTGCCAGTTTAATTCTGTTGATGCTGTTGTTGACCTGTATCATTATTGGAAATGTTCATGTAAAATGTTTAAACTAGCACTTCCATAGGTTTCAGTCACGGTTCCCCTTGCACAATTCCCCTCATGTTTCTTCCAGTGTAACCTTGTCCAATGTGTAAAAGGACGTAACTTGCCTTATCTGTATACGGGAGTACTTGAGAATTATTTGACAGATTTTTTTATGCATCACTCATCGTACTACCTCTTGGCGTCAACAGAACACCGGTGTTTTGTTGACACTTGATGATGTTATAATGGTTGCCAGGGAACCAATGATAACGTTCCCATGGCAACTAAAACTTTTTTGTGTTGATAAATACTATGAATACAACTGTTCATGGTAGTCCTTGTACGAGTCGATATTTTTGGAGAGAGTCTGTACACTTGGTTTTGTGGACATGTACAACGTTGTGCAATGTCCATGTTCACGTCTTGCACGTGCATTCAGAGAGTGGATCGCGAGAGAGGTTGTGAGTGCTGTTTGGGACGACATGATGTGAGTCCCATTTGAAATGGTTCAAACTAGGTTCTGTCTATTGTATTGGCGGGAAACAGTTAGGTACTGTATAGTGAAGGAGGAGGGCGAGTGCACGGACGCGACTGAAAGAGATGAGATTTTCTTACTGTGAATAAAAGTTTAATCTGTGAATACTTTTTTGTTTTGTGTTGAAGACAGAAATGTCTGCAGGTCTGATCTGTTTATTAGCCAATGACACAAAACAAAACCCTGGAATATACAATACAAATAGGAAATAGGGGGTATAGCATCCATCTTACATGATCTCGACTGACGAGTCAAATTTGGAACTGCCCGCAACATGACTACCATAATGCTTTCTGAAACCTTCAAAGGCCTTTCTGAGGCCTGCAAAGCAGTTGGTTATTTTTTCAATTTTGGTAGATCAGCCTTACCCACAGGCAATGTATACACGGCACAGGGCCACAGGCTGTCTTCTTACCAAAGGCACTGTTTACACAATGCAAAAGTACCATTGTCCGGCCCTCTTTATACCACAGACGTCCGCCCGGAGAGCAGAAGGTCGCGGGTTCGATCCCCGTCCGCGTCATACCAAAAGACGTTAAAATATGGTACTTGTTGGTCCCTGCCTGGCGCTCGGCATTAATGGGGTACAACAAGGAGTGGTCGGCTCGGAGTCAGTATAATGTGTCTGAGTAGGGTATTCATGCTTCACTGCGGCGTGGTATCTCAGTGGGCTAGCACTATAAAACCAGCTTCAGTCTAGGCTAATACAAGCACCCGCACATACACATACACACGCATGAGTGAAATATTCTCAAGCACGACGTTAAACCCAATTTCACCTCACCTCACCTTATACCACAGACACTGTTTACACAAGGCATTTCAGTGGCTGGCGTTCTATATAACCATATTCACTGTATCCGACTTATTCCTATTGGCTATCCCTCCATACACAGCAAGCACTGTACGCTACGCACATTAGGCGGGCTTTCTTTATACCACTGGTACTGTACCGACCGCTTTGTCATTGGCTGGCCTCCTGAAACTGAATCTGAAAATGGTTTATTCTCCAAATACTGAAAGCTTGTGATATCGACATGTTGCTAGATTCAGAATATTCGTGACGATGTTTGTCTCTTGTCAAAATCGACAATGGCCAGCGGCACACCGCGAGTGTAAGTGTTCCTAAAGAGCTACGTCTATGGTGTAACGGGTTGTTCCCCCACTTTATCCAGAACATCGTCGTAGTGTAACCATCAAAGGGACCAAGGAACAATACCTGAAATGATTATATAACATTAGGTTGGGCAAAGCGGAAACTGGTAAAAAATAAAATGAGTTTAACAATACATTTGATAGACTACAGTGTGGCGGGAGAGATAGCTACAAGTTCTGATTAATATCTGAATAAATGTTCGTGGTGTTTGTACATACAAACATGGGTCGGTATAGTATGTCCCTGGTATACTGAAGGCCGGTTAAGAACACTGTATCGTGTTAACAGTGCTTTTTGAAAAACAGACGACAGGCCATCTGTGCATATAGCTCATAAATCACCTATTTGTACTTGCATATAGGCATCATGAATGTATAATATAGGTTGAAATACTAGTAACTTCATTCTAGCGTTTCTGTATTAAATGCCAACAGTCTACTAAATTATTTACTTTTGTAGACTATTTGTCGGATAGGCATTTGTGAGTCAAAAATGAAACATCCAACTTTATGGATGACAACTTCTTGTTTATTTTATAGAGCGACGTTTCGATATAGATTCTTACACCGTTATCAAGCTGAAATAGCTTTCTGTTTCATAACGGTGGTTGCCATCCATAAAGTTGTATGTTTCAATTTTGATGACTGTTGGCATTTAATAAGGAAACGCTCAAATGAAGTCGCTTGTATTTCAACCTATATAAAACATTCATGATGGCTATATGCGAGTACAGATAGGTGAGCCTTCACCACGGACACAGTGCACTGCAGATGGTCTGTCGTCTGTTTCTAAAAACAGTGTTAAAACCATACAGTGTTCTTAACCGGCCTTCAGTATACCAGGGACATACTATACCGACCCATGTTTGTATGTACAACCACCACGAACATTTATTCAGATATTAATCAGAACTTGTAGCTATCTCTCCCGTCACACTGTAGTCTATCAAATGTATTGTTAAAGTTATTTTATTTATTACCAGTTTCCGCTTTGCCCAACCTAATGTTATATAATCATTTCAGGTATTGTTCCTTGGTCCTTTTGATGGTTACACTACGTCGATGTTCTGGATAAAGTGGGGGAACAACCCGTTACACCATAGACGTAGCTCTATAGGAACACTTACACTCGCGGTGTGCCGCTGGCCATTGTCGATTTTGACAAGAGACAAACATCGTCACGAATGTTCTGAATCTAGCAACATGTCGATATCACAAGCTTTCAGTATTTGGAGAATAAACTGATGGCGAGTTATGTTCATTGGCCGTTCCAAGAAGAACACTGGTAGACAATGAGGGCTATTTTCATCCCCATTGTGCTCAAATAGCATATTGTGGTATACCTTGAAAGGACTTCGATTTTATAATTAGGAGGACAGGTTTATCGCCGTTTAGACCAGGTGCCGCTCAGCGCTGAAGGGCTGCTGTTAAACACGACCTATTGTGATCTTGACGTGATGTTATTGGCGACTCGATGTGACCATCCAGTTCGGATAAACATTATAATGGTCTACGATGTAAACCCAACAAAATCTAGTTGACCGGGGCCAACGCTTTGTGTTTGTTTTATCAATAAATTTCAATTAGTGGTATGTACAAAAGCAGTTTGTTGGAAAAGCATGAACATTCAAGTACGCTGGTTAACTCACACCAAAATGATAAATCCAGGTTTTTACAATATTGCAGGGAGTTTTGAATTGTAGTATCTATTTTGCTTGCCATTTAGTCTGATAGACCATCAAATGACTAGCTTACCTACGGTATATGGAGTAAACATTTGTTACACCATATATACGAAGTGATGGGTCTATTCTTAGTAATCTTGCTAAAATGGTTAAATGTGTCATACACCTTATAGATTTACTTGAAATAATCTGTGACGAAATATGTGAAAACACCTCACAGGTTTGAAGAACATACAGTGTATAATTGTTTGATCGGCATTTCTAGAAGTTGGTGAGTAAAAAATGAAACATACAACTTTATGGATGACAACTTCTTGTTTATTGCATAAAGCGACATTTAAATGTCGATTCTTACATCGTTATTGCGAAAAACGTTAGAATATCAAAGTCAGTTATGCTATTGGCGTGCTTCCTTCAGTTACTTTAGATTAATACAGTTAACGTCAACATAAACGTCAACATATAACGTCAACATATAACGTCAACATATAACGTCAACATATAACGTCAACATAAACGTCAACATATAACGTCAACATAAACGTCAACATATAACGTCAACACCAGAGTGTAACCAGCCTCGATCAGCCGCCGGGCGTCAAAGGCAAAATAGCCGTGAAAATTATTTGAATGGAAATCAGTGATGACACCAGTCATTATGTTCTGGGCATGTTGTACTGGTAGCACCCACATCGAACACAATTTGTATAAAAAGTGTTTGTCACCTTACGCCACGTTGTAGGAAACAAACAAGACACAGAAAATATACTGACACAATAGGTTTGAACTCAGTATTCCAAATCAAGACTGACATGTCCACCAGCAACTAAATCTTTCACTATTTCTCTGAAGCTCGAGCTGTTGCTGTGGAAACGTGTGGAAGCATCTTTCCTAATTGCTGGAGCTGAAACCTGAACAAGTAAACGTGATACCCTCTCTTAGTATCAAGTTGATGCACCTGAGTTGAAGAATGTGATTACACACCTGTCCCGTTGCTGCATGCATGCACAGGGGCCACTGCACTCCACAGCCAGATGGTGTGCTCTCAGAGTCGACAGCCATTGACACAAATTCTGAATCTGAGAAATCACTTCGGAAAGCAGACATACTACTTGTGCCTTTATTCTTTCAGCATATAGCACCTAACGCTAGTGTTTGGTGGAACTTATGACTATGTGACAGAAGGCCCTTTACGTCGAGCAATCATCCACCAGTATTTGGTGATAAAATTTCACGACTTTTGAGGTCTCAACAAGCATACGCACGTTCATTGAAGATTTCAGACAGCATCATGTGACTCCTGCACAACAGTATTTTGTTTAAGGTTGCATCCTTCCAGGAGTTTGTAAATGCAAATCAACGAAGACATTTTTGTTTCAAACATTTTTTGGGGGGCGTACACGTGGATGACACTTCCATATTTGATGCAACAGTGGCAAAATGATGCCTGATGCAATCCCCTATTTTTATTTGTGTAATTGTCAGGTAAATAATATACTTGCCTTTGCGTGTGTTTGTGATAAACATGACACGTGACAGCTAGTATCATCTCCAGATAACAGTGATTCATGAACTCATAATTATGGGGCGGTGGGGTAGCTTAGTGGTTAAAGCGTTCGCTCGTCACGCCAAATTGCCGGGTTCGATTTCTCACATTGGGTACAATGTGTGAAGCCCCGCTCTGTTGTGCCCCCGCCGGGATATTGCTTGAAAATTGCTAAACGCGGCGTAAAACCAAACTCACTCACTCACTTCTGCACATATTTCCTGTGACATAGGGACAGGTTCTGCTGCTTCGACACGCAGTCGTGTATATGCTAACAGAGGATGACTTGTATATACAGGTTGAGATTATGGAATCTGCAGGTTAATGACTCATCTACACTGCACTGGTCGTGGTGAATCTTGATCTCAGCATCTGGACAACACTCGTTCTGTATCCCCCAGCCATGATCCTTCCACACCATCGTTCTGTATCCCCCAGCCATGATCCTTCCACACCATCGTTCTGTATCCCCCAGCCATGGTCCTTCCACACCATCGTCCTGTATCGCCCAGACCATGATCCTTCCACACCATCGTTCTGTATCGCCCAGACCATGGTCCTTCCACACCATCGTCCTGTATCGCCCAGACCATGATCCTTCCACACCATCGTCCTGTATCGCCCAGACCATGGTCCTTCCACACCATCGTTCTGTATCCCCGAGCCATGATCCTTCCACACCATCGTTCTGTATCCCCCAGCCATGGTCCTTCCACACC